CCCCTGGATGTCGCCTTGGGCTCACACTGCAGCAAGCTGATTTCGCTCCATCATGGTCCCCCCGTGTAGCTGCAGTCCTCCTCAAAGCTAATGAAATGGAAATAGCCATTCCTACCTGGAACCAAAATACATCTCTGTGCCTGCTTGTGGCCGAGGTGCTTCAGAAACGTCAAAGAACGTTATCTGCTCAGTGCTTCTTATTTCCTGACCTCGCGCGCTCCGACATCTCCTGGCAGCGATTGCTGCAGAGACTCTGGGCGTCCGTATCTTTGCTTCTTCCTTCCTTGGAGTTTGTGCCGAGCTGAGTGGATTCCCTGGGAGCTGTTAACCGAGTCTGCCTGCAGTGGGTCCTCTAGAGAAAGGCGGCGTGGAGTGATGGCGAAGAGCGTGGGATCTGGGACCCGGCCTCACCAGCTCAGATGCCGGCTTGGCCCCTTCTTAGCTGCACTGAGGCCAGTTATTGCACCTCAAGGCCCCTTTTCCACATGGTAAAATTGTGGTGATAATAGTACTTAACTAAGAATTGACAAGGAGGTCTTTGTGCATGCTGCCTGCTGTCCCCATTGTCACCTTAGCGCCACTCCAGGAGGCTGCAGGAATGAGCAGTGACAGCACTTGTCTCCTGTGGTTTCGAACACTGAGGGGCTTCGTGGTCTCCACGGTTGGGGGTGGGGAGGTCCCACCACAGAGAAGGTGCCCTTTCTACCCCAGCAGAGCAGAGAGGACATCACATTCAGGGCCACCTGAGGGAGGATGACCTCCAGTCCTCCAGCCGGGAAACTAGCATGTCCTGGAGCTGCCAGCTGGAGCCCAGCCAAGGGCCCTTCCCTACCAAGGATGTGCGAACCTGGGGTAGAGTCCAGAGTCGCTTCAGCCTCTCCCCTCCGTGAGCTCCCACCCACCATCTAAGCAGAGCGTGTCACTCTGCAGACACATCCCGTGAGCGGTTCTAACTAGGCTCATGCCCCAAGCCCTTCCCAGATAGAAATTCCGGGGTCCCCCCACTGGGGCCAGGCAGAGGGTCACCAAGCCCTCATCCTGCAGGGCAAGGCTCACCCACTGGCGGGCATCTTGGCAATGGAGGGGCAAGCTGAAGAGGGCCCAAGACTGCAGGGGTAAGGATGTGAACGCTCACTGGGGGGTGACTTTGGCAGGTGACTTGACCTCTCTGAATGTCGGACTCCTCATCAGTAAAAGAGGCAAAGCATAATATTGGCTCCTTCCTCGTGGGAATGCTGTGCAATTCCCTGATGTAGAGTGCTCAGCTCAGGGCCCTCAGGCAGCTGCTATTCCTAGTAATAAGGGAAGGACTCACGCATCAATTTGTCCATTCCACAAGGAGTTATTGCAGGCTGCTCTTTGCCAGGCACTGTCCCAGATCCTGGGGCTACAGCAGGGAACAAAACATTCCCATAGGAGGAGACAGACGATATACAAACAAGCAAAGAAGAAATATCCACGAAGACAAGGTGTCCCGTGAGGAATTAAAATACCACGGCATGATGGAAGGGCGAGGTGGCAGGTTCGATGGTTGTGGAAGGCGCCTCTGAGGAAGAGTCGTTTAAGCTAAGACTTGAATGAGAAGAAGGAGCCAGCCAGGGAAAGATGGGAGGAAGAGCCCACCAGGCTTGGGGCAGGAGGAAGCCAGGCGTGTTCCAGGGCAGCTGGCCTAGCTAGGGCCGGGGGGGTGCTGGTCAGAGAGCCTGGGGTGGGGGTGGGGGTGGGAGGTATTGTAAATGTGTATTTTAAACATTTTATTACACAGGGAATCCATTTATTGTAGAACAGTTAGAAAATGCAGCTAAGTAAAAATATTTCCAATATCAAGAGATTATAGATGTTAACATTTTGGTATATATATATTCCAACATATTTAGAGATACTCTACAAAAACAGAGTCTTAACTACACACATGGTATCATATCCCTTTCTTCCATTGAACACGTTGTGAATCCATGTTCACCGACGCTCCCCCCAGCCCCCGTGTTGGTGGCTGCACAGCACTCCTTTAAGAGCATCAGGCACACAAGCACAGGGTTATTGCAGGGAGGTGCCCTGGGGGAGATTCCACCAGAACTGGTAGGCTTCTGGGCTCAAATAATAGATTTAATTCATAGACAGCTATTGAAACCCAGAAGTTTTAAGTTGCAGACCTGTGTCCCCAGCCAAGGACGTGGAAAAGCTTTATCTAGAAACTCAGGTTTCCCCTCCTAGGTAGGTTCACTGAAGAAGTTTAACCCAGGAGCGTAACCAGATAAACAATTTAACCCTGGTTTCTTTTCAGCGGGCAGTTAGGGTAGCCTTCTCTTGGCACCGCCAGGCCACAGGGCTGGTCTCTGGGTGAGGCCTCCCGGGGCAGGGGTCCTTCGTCCCTCCAAGTCCAGGATGCAGCTTGTACTAACTTTCATTAGTAACTCATCTTTGGATGCAACCTGAAGTTAGGTGCAGATTCGGGAGGGGACGGGGTCTGAGGGAGCCTCTCTCTGAGGCTGTTCGCATGGGGGAGGACTGTGTCATGAGGGGAATCTGTGTTGTTCTCTACCCTATTGTCAGCTCCTAGACTGGTGCCCCGCACACAGCAGGTGCTCAATCAATGTCTGTTGACTGAATTTTGTTGTCCTCAAGAACCTCATCCTCAGAATGGAGGGAGGTTCTTTGAAGGGTGGGTTGGAGCTGAGGGCAGTTGGAAGAATGAGCAGGGGTGGCCACAGCCACAGGCCATAAGGGACAGGCGCTGCTGCAGAAGGCGCCCACACAGGTAGGCGGGGGTCGGCGTGCATTTCCCATCTTTTTTCCCTATACCACCTACTTCCTCTGCCTTCCTTTGCTTGCACTACTGACGCTTAGCATACTTTTATTGAGTTTCTGCCGTGTGCAGCTTCTGGGGGAGGCCCAGGCCCTGCCCAGGAGGCCCTCACAGGCCAGGCCCTCTGCCCCTCGTGTGCCCCTCAGCTAGCCTCTCCTCTGCCTCCTCTCATCCTTGTCGGGCCTCTGCCATCTTCATTTCCTCTACACATCTTTCTCTCCAGCGTGGAGGCCGCAGAGACCCTGTGGGAGACACACCTCCACAGTATTACTAGCACAATTCAAAGGACTTTCCAGAACATTCCAACCCAGGAAGGCCACTTTCTCTTTCTTCTCAAATACCTAAATATGACAGGAAGCTCTTACTTGTGGACTAGCAAAGACATAGGTTCAGGTTCTACAATGTCAAACTGGCTCCACCCAGCAACTCCCTGTCATGACGTCATACTGGGGTGTCCAACTAACCTGAACCCCAAAAGTCTGCTATTACTAAGGATGTGACCTTGAGAAGCTCACTAACTGCTTTGAGCCCCCATTCCCATATCCATCAAATGGGGCATAATAGTTGTCCCTACCTTGTATAGGGAGAAGATTCCATGAGATAACGTTCGTATATGTACGTAATGTGCTTAGCCCATAGCAAACCCTGTAAATATTAGCTGATTAACGACAGCCATTTCTTTGGAAAATTATCCACCCAAGACTTCAGGGTGCACTTCATCTGCATTGCCCAAACCATATATACCAAGTAACTCGTGGATCTCATCTCTTTGCTCGTTGCAAACTGGTCTTTTCATATTACATATTTTAATCTTTTAATAGTGGGATCGATCCCAAGTACCAAGAACAGGTAGTCTTCATGCATATGTGTATAAACACACGTAGTAAGCTCTGTGAGGGCTGGAACATGTCTGGCTCATGCACCATGGTACCTGGGACAGTTGGTAACTAACACACAGGAGGCACTGGGTAAATATTTGTGGAATGAATGAATGAACATAAGTTGACTTTCCTAAACCAGAGGCATAGGTTTGCACTGAGCTATTCACACTTTCTCACCTGGCCCCTCTTGCACCTGGGCACCTGGGAGGCTGCTACCAGGGTGAGAGGTGTGGTTTACACACACAGGATCATCTCGTTCTCGGTGGCCACCATATGTGTGTCCTTGTCTCCAGTCTGCCCACTCTTGTGAAATGAAGTGCTGACTCCATGATGAAGTCAAGGGGATCAGGCTGGCCCTCTGACACAGTGAATTATAATTCTGTACATTGTGATCTGCATGAGGAAGTCTGGTCCAATCTTATGTATTATCACCATTATACTGGTCCTTAAACTGACACCTTTCCTTTTTTAAAATAATAACTTTTTTCTTGTGATTTTATAATTAGTGTTTTCCTAAATGTAGAAATAGTACATTCTCATTGTTGAAAAAAAAAAAAAGCAGACATGTATAAAATAAAAAGCCCCTTTTATTGCCCCCAATCCCTCCCCCGAAATCATCATTATGGCCAGTTTGGTGTACATCCTTCCAGATTCACTTGTCCTGTTAAACTTCATCAGGCTCATACAATATGTGGTGTTACAGAACTTTTTGTTTTAAACTTAGGATTGTGTCTTGGACTTCTCTCCCATGTCAACACCCTAGATCTACCTTCTTTCTTTTAAAAGCTGTGGAATATGGTATACCACAGTGTGTTAAGCCTTCCTCTGTGGACATTTATGTTGTGCCCGGTTTTTTGCTATTATAAGTAATTCAGCAATGGAAAATCTTGCCCATATATCATGGTACTTGTACAAATATGGGCTTGCAAGAAATTCCTGAACCAAGATGCTTGGCTCCTCTGGGCCTCAGTTTCCCCATTCATGCGTTGAGAATACTTTCCCCATTCATGCGTTGAGAATACTAATGTTTACCTCGAAAGATGATATAAGGTCATGTCTGCAAAATATTTAGGACAGTTGGTTGCACATGGTAAGCACTTGATAAATGATACTTTGGTTTCATTTTAAACCAGAATGCATTACATCCAGCTTGACTACCTGGTGCTGGCTAAATTTATTGCCCCAGGGAAGTATCGTAGGCCGAGTTAACTTACTTTCTGTTAATCTACAATTGGCCCTTCCTCCATCCTTGAAGTGACAATGCTCTTGGATGCTCTTCTCACTTGTGGTCCCTGGCTTCCTGCAACCTTTTCTACCTGGATCAGTCATAGAGATGCCCTGCGCTTGTAACAAGAGGTTCTGCTGACTCCATGGGCCTTCCTGTAGACTTCACTGGCTGCTTCATTTGATAGCACAGCATCCAATATGCCGTTGGGGGTGGAGGCTGACCCCAACGGTAGTGTGCATTTGTGGAGGAGAAAAGTGGTGAGTTTAGCCTCCCTAATTGCACAGGTTGAAATCTCTTATATCGTATGATAGTAATACTGGCTAAAATAGTTGGGGCAGTTATTACATGCCAGACCTTATACCAAGCACATGGCTGAGCTCTTTCAATCTTCACCATCTATTGTCATCGCCATCCGCATCCGCATCTTAGAGACTGAGAACCTGAGGCTTGCCCAGGATCACATAGCTCTTGAGTACGGAGAAACAGAGAAACGGTGTGAGCATTGATTGGGGGAATGCAGCCTCTGGCCCCTGGCCAGTCCCTCCTCACAGCGCTAGGTGTGAAAGTGGGAGCAAAAGAAGTTCTTTCTTACGCATCCACAGGGGGATTGAAGAGGTTAACCACAGGGTTTTTAATTCATTGAGAGAGAGAGAGAGAGAGAGTGTGTGTGTGTGTGTGTGTGTATGTGTGTGTTTTAGCTCGTGTGAATTCCAGACTTCGGCTTAGAAGCCAGAGGAGAGAGTAGAACCATTTCAGAGGACGGCCCGTCAGTCAGCTGGGCGTTGAGATCAGCAGATCGTTGATGCAGGCTCGGATGATCCGGGATGTGCTGGGGAAGCTTGCCCCAGGCCTCGCAGAGTGAGCTGGGATTGTTGGTGTGAAGGTGGCGTCTCCCTGAACCAGACCCTACTGTTGCTCCACGTTCTCCTCCTCTGCCCTTCGGCCCAGGGAATCGTGGATGCGTGCTCTCTCTTCCTGAGCTCCAGGATAACCTTACGCCCTCTTGGGGTGGGTTCATTTGCTCTTCTTGGTGATTTCCCTCCAAGCTCACGCCAAGGAGCTGATGACAGAGCCTCTAGTTTGGGTCCAAGGTTGCCACTAACTGTTTAGTGAAGCCTCGAGTGGCCACCTTGTGCGGATGGACAAAGTCGGGCCTGGAGGAAACCCTTAGCTCAGGAAGTGTCCCAAGTGAACTGCCCTGGAGGAAACTGGGCATTCTGGGTGATGGGAGGGACCCCTGCACCCTAGACCGCGGGCATGGTGGGAACACTACAGGGGGCTACGGACCTCCCCCTCCACCTCCCCCACAGAAAAGGGGGTCAGGGCCCCAGTGTTGCCACTGTCATGAAGCCAGCGTCCAGAATTGTTAGCAAAACAAAAGCGATTGCAGGCTGAGCCCTTTTAATCACCTAATGGCCCGGGACACCCGAAGCCCGGAGCTCAGGTTTCTGGGTCTCAGCCGCAGCCCGGCCACTGTAACTACAGCCAAGTTTGGCCCGGCTTCTCCACATTACAGCCACAACACGGACGCACACAATTGAAGTATTTGAGAACAATGAAATATGCATGGCTATCAGTGACAGCCCCATAAAGTGCAGCAATTAGCTGGTAATCCGAGAGAGGGAGCCGGCCCTCGGCAGCTCGTGGCTCCCCATTAGTTAAATGCATTTTGTACGTCCTCATCCCATCAAATCAACTAACACTTCCTTTAATTGGTTCATGAATTATACAGCCGCCCCGCATTATAATTTAATCGCCTGTAAACATTCATAGGGCCCCACTGTAAAGCGTATCGCGCTCATTAATTCGTTAATTTCAGCAGATGGAAGGGGAGATCGGATGAATGGTGGCAGAACAGAGCGCCTTGGGCAATGGAAGAAGGGAAAAAAGGTGGGGGGCCGTTTAGGTTTTTTAAGGCTGTCAGAAACTCAATCTGTGAGCTGTCAGCAGCCCGGACCCGTCCCCCACCCGCTCCACTCCACCGGCTGCGGGAAGTGACTGGCGGATTCATACGGAGGCTTGTCAACCGTCTTTAAACATCAAGCCAGCGGGTAAACCGAGCCCAATGTAAATTAATTCTTGTCTTATGGGCCCCCCTTTCTCTGTCCCCATGAATATTTCATGACGGGCAGCATAAATATTAATTCTAATAGCTCCGCACAGTGGTTATTATTTCTGTTTTATGACAAATATTCATAAAATATTCAGGACCCTTTTTTAGAACATTTACACACTTGATTGTGAATTTTCCCAGTTTCCTGGGGACACTGTAAACATATTGGGGTTCTCTTGATGGACTTTTCCCCCTTAATTAATACCACTGGTTATTAATATTTAATCAGATTTAGGTTTTTGGAAATGTAAAACCTATTAGATTGGAGGGCCGAAGGGCATTTTTTTCCCCTTTAGTCTGTAAAATGGGAGATTTTTGCTACCATGAGTCTGTTGCTCTTTGACACCTGGGTGATCTGACAAAGGATAACCTTGCCTTTTTGTTTTGAAAACAATATCTATCTTTTTTGCATGTGTCTGTTCTCCTTTTACTTTTTAACTGAGGGCTCTGGCGGCAACCCAACTTACTGTAATGAAATTCTTCGGAAGATGCCACTGCAATATTTATGCAAGGATTTAACATAATTTTGGCGTAATTAAAGTGTGGGTTTAACAAATACGGAGGCAGATTCCTTAGGCAAGGCAGCTGCGATTGGAGATGAAGGATCTTTTGGAATCCACATTATTTATCTTTAACCCTGAAAGGCAGCTGTGCATGGCGTCCCTAAGGAAACAAACTGAGGAGGGGGTCCCACCCCTGGGAAGCAGGTGGGGTCCAGCGAGCCTTGAGGATGGGGATACATAAGCAGTGTTGACCCCACCCCACCAGCTCTCCTCCTAAATTGCTTCAGGGTTCACTTTCCATTCCCAGATTCTCACTAGAGGCTTCAGGAATGCTCTGACAACTACGGGGAACCAAGCAAAATTATTTTACATACAGGAAGGTAGCAGGGAAGTGAAAGAGTGGCCTAGAGTCAGCCGGGCCTGAAGCCCAGCCTGGATGCACCACTTAACCTCTTAGGGGCCTGAGTTCTTTTATCCTTGAAATGGGGAGGATCACGGGACCTGGGTCATGTGCTTCTTACAAGGATTAAATGGGACAACACTCATGTGTAATATGCTTAGTACAAGTGCCTGGCACATACTAAGTATGTAAAGGTTCGCAAAGATGGTGGTGATGATGATGATGATGATTAATGAGAGGCAGAGGATTAAAATTGAAGCCAAGAAGTAAAACGCTTTTAGATAGAGAGGTTCACAGAGGAAAACTCCAGCTGTGGAAAGGGTTAAAGCTTCTCTGCGGCCCCTGCAAGTCCAGAGTGGCGGTTCTCACTGTGGGTAGAGAAGGTGTGTGGCTGAGGAACGCTGAGATGTGCTTATGTAACTCTTCACCAGTGACAGATTTTTTGTTTATTGCAGTAACATTGGTTTATAGCATTGTATAAATTTCAGGTGTACATCATTATGCTTCTATTTCTGCATAGATTACATCATGTTCACCACCCAAATACTAATTACAACCCATCACCACGCACATGTGCCAAATTATCCCTTTCGCCCTCCTCCCTCCCCCCTTCCCCTCTGGTAACCACCAATCCAATCTCTGTCTCTATGGGTTTGTTTGTTGTTGTTATTATCTACTACTTAATGAAGGAAATCATATGGTATTTGACCTTCTCCCTCTGACTTA